GGGTCCCCCAGCCCGACCTGCCCCCTCTCCAATCTTGGAGCCCTCAGGGGAGCCCTCTCCAATCCAGGAGCCCTGATGGCTTAGGCCCGCTCCCCGTGGTTCTCTGCTCTCTGCAGCGCCTACCTGCTCCACACCGCAGCGACTGCCAAGTAGGCCATGCTGGATGCTGCCTGCAGGTCACACTTGCCTGCTCCCGGGTCGCTGCAGCGACGGCCAAGCAGGCTATGCTGGGAGCTGCCTCCTACCTGCTGTCAGTCTCCAGGGAGGCAACGAATGCTCCCGGGTCGCTGCAGCGACGGCCAAGCAGCTATGCTGGGAGCTGCCTCCTACCTTTTGTCAGTCTCCAGGGAGGCAACGAGGTTAATTTTCATACTCATTTCTGATTGGCTGGTGAGTGTAGCAGAGGGACAGTCAATTTACATGTTTCTCTTTTATTATATAGGAGGATGTTTACTTTTGTATGTGGTTAAAATTTTTAAATGATAACTCATAATAGATGTTTAAGTATCTCATTTTTTAAACTTGAGAGTATAAATCCTTAATCTTCTAAGAAAGCTTTGTCTGATTGTACTGGTTATGAGAAATTTTTCCTCTTCCTTTCAATTAACAGACTGAAGACATTAAAGAGATAGCCAAAAAGACCCAAGCTCTGCCAAAGGTGAACTCGAAGAGGCAGCGAGTTGTGATTTTCACCCAAGGGAGTGATGACACTATAATGGCTACAGGTACATGTGCAAACTGTATGAGGAAACCCTTATTGTGGAGGTTAATCATTTATAACAAAAGTCTATATCCTTTCTAACATATTTAATTCAGAACATGCAAACTGTGTGAGAAAACCAGTATTATGGAGCTTAATCATGTATAACAAAATTTACATTCTTCCTATTATATTTAATTTAAACACCGTACTTTTTTTACCACCTTAACTCATTTTGCTTACACAAACACACACTTCTGGCAATCATCAATATGTTCTCTGTATCTATGAGTTCAGTTGTTTTTAGGTTCTACATGCAAGTGAGATCATACCTTATTTGTCTTTGTCTGTCTCACTGATTTCACTTAGCATATAATGCCTTCAAGGTTCATCCATATTGTTGCAAATGGAAGGATTTCCTTCTCTGTTTTGGCTGAATGTAATTTCAATATATAAATGTATAAAGAAAATGTAGAAGTCTATATACATTTTCTTTATCCCTACATCCATCACACAGACCACTTAGGTTGTTTCCATGTCTTGGCTATTGTAAAAAATGCTGCAATGAACACGAGGGTACAGATATCATTCCAAATTAGTGTTTTCATGTTCTTCAAATAAATGCCCAGAAGTGTAATTGCTGGATCATATGGTAGTTCTATTTTTAATTTTTAGAGGAAATTCCACACTGTTTTTCATAGTTGCTACACCAATTTACATTTCCAGCAACAGTGCACAAGGGTTCCTTTTTCTCCATTTTCATCCTTGCCAACACGTATTTCTTATCTTCTTGATAACAGCCACTCTAGCAGGTGTGAAGTGATCTCATTTTGGTATTGATTTAAATTTCCCTGATGATTAATGATGTTGATCACCTTTTCATGTACCTGTTGGCCATGTGTATGTATGTCTTTTATGGGAAAATATTCAGCTCTTTCAGATTGTGTTTGTTTGATTTTTTTTTTGTTTGGTTTTGTGTTTGTTTTTTGTTGAGTTGTATAAGGTATATATATTGGATATTAGCTTCTTACCAGATAAGTGATTTGCAGATATTTTCTCCCATTTCATAGGTTGCCTTTTCATTTTGTTCATGGTTTCTTTTGTTGTGTAGAAGTGTTCTTTGTTTGCTTGTTTGTTTGATTGTGATTTTAGTTTGATGTAGTCCCACTTGCTTATTTTGCTTTTGTGGCCTTTGCTTTTGGTGTCAAATCCAAAAAAAATGTCACCAAACCAGTGTCAAGGAACTTATCCCCTTTTCTTCTAAGAGTTTTAAGGTTTCAGGTCTTACTTTTAAGTCTTTAATCTTTTGAAATGATTTTTGTGTAGGTTGTAAGGGAATGCTGCACTTCCATTCTTTTGCATGTGGCCGTCCAATTTTCCAAACACCATTTATTGAAGAGACTATTGTCTCCCCATTGTATGTTCATGGTTCCTTTGTCATAAATTAATTGACCACTTATATCCGGGTTTATTTCTGGGCTTTCTATTCTGTTCCATTGACCTATGTGTCTCTGTTTTTATACTAGTATCATAATGTTTTGATTATTCTATCTTTGTAATATAGTTTGAAATCAAGAAATGTGATGACTCCAGCCTTGTTCTTCTTTCTCAAGGTTGTTTTGGCTGTTCTTGGTCTTTGTGGTTCCATATGAAATTTAGGATTTTTTGTTCTATTTCTGTGAAAATGTACCTTGTATAGTTTTTTTATAATTTTAATAAATATATATGTACCTTCTATCTCATTAGAAAATATTTTCAAGAAGATAATTTAAGAAAAATCAGTTGAGTAAATCTACCTTGATTTTTTTACTGTGATATTTTGGAGATATTGTCAATCTAGAAATGTCTTTCCTGAAAAACATACATTTTAATTACCAAATACCTGTGCTACAATAACATAAATGTATCCAACTATGAACAAATATAACCCAAATATAAGTCACTTCATCAGCTTTAAACTTAAAGAAGAAAACTTCACTTCTGTTTTTACACAGCCATCTATTTTCATAGAAATAAAATAGGAATTTTATCTAGTCAACAAACATTGTATCAAATAAAATGATTAATATTGCCCTGGCTGGTATGGATCAGTGGGTAGAGCATCAGCCTGTGGACTGAAGGGTCCCGGGTTCGATTCTGGTTAAGGTCACATGCCCAGGTTGTGGGCTCGATCCCCAGTAGGGAACGTGCAGAAGGCAGCCGATCAGTGGTTCTATCTCATCATTGATGTTTCTATCTCTCTCTCCCTCTCCCTTCCTCTCTGAAATCAATAAATTTTTTTTTTTAAAGAGTTGTGGCCAAAACCGGTTTGGCTCAGTGGATAGAGCGTCGGCCTGCAGACTGAAAGGTCCCGGGTTCGATTCCGGTCAAGGGCATGTACCTGGGTTGCGGGCACATACCCAGTAGGAGATGTGCAGGAGGCAGCTGGTCGATGTTTCTCTCTCGTCGATGTTTCTGACTCTCTATCTCTCTCCCTTCCTCTCTGTAAAAAATCAATAAAATATATTTTAAAAAAATAAAATAAAAAAGAGTTGTGGTAGCTTAAACAATTAAAAAAATGATTAATATTGTCAATAAGATGCTACCTACTACTGAAGCCAAAATACAGACCTTTTCCATTTTGTCTGAACCATTAAGATTAAAATCAACCAGTTAATTAATACTTATTATAAACAGAAGCAATTTTTACCTTAGTGTTTATTTAGTACTCTGCTGAACACTAAAACTTAAGATACGAGATCTAACTCAGAAATAAAATTAATATACATTGATATATGAATACAAGAAACTGTAATTACACTTGTTAATTATTGGTAAAAATTATATGGGCTTTTATTGACTCAGAGAAGGAAATCAATAAAGATTTTATAGTGGCTATGAAGTAAACTTTTGTTGAACTAAATAAATATGCCTGAAAAGGTAAAAGAATAAATTAATGTCAAATTTGGGGGAATAGAGACCCCAGGATTAATTCATTTCAACTTTCTTATTTTAGAATTGTCAAAAGCAAGATTCAGATATTTATTTCAAAATAATGCAATACATAGTAAATAATGAAATGGAGTTATAGATGAAGAGAGATTCGCCATGAGTCAATAATTGTAATATATGGGGATGGTCATTGTGCAATTACATCCACTTGTATATACACTTAAAATTTTTCATAATTAAAAGTATAAAAAACAGAAGGACAGAAAATTCTTCAAACAAAATTCAGATATATAGTATTAAGTGATTTATTTTCCCCAGATACATTGATATCCTTGCTAAGCCTTGAATTTTAGGAAGTATTTAAGAAAGGAGGGCAATCTAGTCAAAGAGGATCATGTGAGCAAAGACACCACGTACTGTATAATCTTTTATTGTTGTGACAGGAAAAGCCATGTTGTTAATTTGTACAAGAGAGAAAATAAATAAGTCATGAAAAGATATCCCTGCATTGATAATAACTGAATTGCTGTCTTTTTATACTAGTGGCCTATTCCTGTCTTAGCAGTGAACACTGTTTGGAAAAGTGAAAAGCATACTGACTTTCTTACCTCATAAGAATTGTCATACTGCCTTCAGATTCATAAAATGCTATTTGGTTGCTCTTTATAGAGACATTTATTTTAAGGCTTTATTCCAGAGATACATATTGTACAAGTGTCTTGTGAATTAGCACAAATTTCCAAAAATTGAAACCTTTAAAATTAGCATCCTCTTCCTGTGACTGAATTTGTCAACTCAATTTGGTCTTATTAAATATATTAAACCCTCTTAGCAATGCTTACCAGCGGGAATTTATTTGAGGACAGACACTGGTAATCTTTGCTGCTTCTAGTATATGAAAATGAACTTAAATTAGAGGGTGTACTATATCTGCAATGCATGATAAATACAAGATGGATAGAGAATCTGTTCAGTGGTGTCAGCTACAAAAGCAAACATGATAAATGTTAATGCAGTTTTGAGCCCTGGGATAAGCTATTCAGTGCACAAGCATAGCTGAATCTCTTTGCTGTGTTGTTATTCATGGCAGCCAAATAAATGTCAATAATAAAAGAGAATTAAAGATTTTCATTTCCCAGAGGCAATCCTCTAATACGGCTTGATCTTTCATTTCATTTGTAATTCGTTCTCATGTCAGGATGCAATCATTCGCCAGGCTCTGGGTGTCATGTTAAGTCATTTAATAATGATTAAGAACATAAAAATGCTTGGCCTGTGGGGCAATCTACAGAAGAGATGCCAATTTGTTATTGTTTTTCTTCCTTTCCTCTTGAATATGGATCAGCTTTTCCCACCTCCTAGCATTAAAATACTAATGGAAGATGGGGAGGGACAGTAGTTCCTTAATTTACCGTAAATGACATTCCAGAATGGTGAACACACTTATTATAACACTAATTAGGAGTCATTGTTCCTTAAACCTCACACTATAGACTATTTTTAAATGATCAGTGCTAAGTTTGTGGCATTTAGCAATAATATAACAAAATTAGGTTCCTTACTATTTAATTCCAGAGACCTTTCTCCTTTTGCGACATGGTGGCTATAAACCACTTTCTATTACTTTATAAAGGTAATTCTCTGAATTCCTCTACTCTAAGTTGCCTGTGAATGTAATATTTTTTTGGCCACCTCTATTACAGTTGGGTATCCATCTTCTATATCCGTCCATCCCAGTGGTTTTGTCACAGAGCAGTCATTGTTCCATTGCTTGCAGGCTAATTAAGTTCCAAGTTTTGGAAAAGGGGGTAGGGGGAGGGCGAGGTGAAGGGGACACTGAAAAGTAATAAGAGTAAGAAGTTGGGGATGAAAAACAGGAAAGAAAAAATGATTCTGTTCATTTTTATCCTTTAATAAATGTTGAATGAACTTGTTAGGTATGGTGGAAGTCAGGTCAAGGAAATCATTTCTGTATCTATAAAACTCTAGAAAAATTAAGACTACAGATCTTCATTGCCTACTGGACAGCAGGTACTAATAAGGTCTTTGTATATTAACATCTTACTATAGTAAGGATTGTACTGAAAAAAATGA